GGCTGGGGGGGGGGGGTGCCCCGCTGTTGGAAAATTCCTGATGGGGAAAATCCTGCAAGCCGACGTAGATCAGCACCTTTCAATCCAGCGCGGGGTCAGCACCATCTCTAGTGAAAAAACAATCACTACATTTACGGGTTTAACCTCCATTTAGTTGATAATCTGAGTATTCGTCCTGAAGAGGCACATCATCTTTATGAGTCAACAGAAGGAGAACGAATTGTAGTATTTTTGGAAATAATTTGTGGGAGATGTCCGAGTTACGAATAAGAGAGACACTTCGATGCTATGACCAAAGACACTTCTAAAAGATTTAAGAGGAAGGAGGGTAGGTAGGTTAATTTTGCAAGAAAAATAACATTTTGGCAAAATAAACAACTGAGTAATGTAAAAAATTGTAAAACAAGTTGGAAATCGTGTCCACACTATTTCCAAACGATTCTTTTGCATTGGAGGGAAGGTCTTCGCTGTACTTCATATGCAATTTTATACAAACTGACTGACTTCATATAGTATTTCTTCGAGTGATGACAAAATAAAATAATCCTGTACACAGAAACGTCGATAGAAAAAATATTATGTTAATTAAACAATTGTCAACTGTCTTTAAAAACGAGATGTTCACGAATGATAATGATACAATAACAATAAAATAGTTTCCGCTGAATTTCCAGGTGTAAAACTGATTAAACGATTTCTGTTAATTGAAGTGGAACTGTAAGTTTCACAGAACATGCACACAAACATTCAGGAATAAGGTGAGAGGCTCCGAATAATTGTATGTTGAGGAAGTCACATGCCATTTCGTGCCACAAGTAGTCACGTGCGGATACTTCGAGTCCCCACTATTTTCTAATATTTCTAGCAATTTATGTCGTTTTGCAATTATTCTTCGTTACATTCAACTTTATTGAATAAGTGTTGTTAATTTTTAAAATCTTAAATTTATAAATAAATGTTCATTGTTTCAAACGCAATATACTATAATTGCGAAAACGTACTACCTTAATAACGATAGCTACTACAATGTATGCTACTTTTTTATTTGTGTATGAAAATCCTAAACTGTAATAGTAATTTTTATTACGTATTGTCAGTAATCTCTTATTATTCACAAGCGTCACAAATAATTAAATTTTATGTAATATCTGGTCGTGTGGATTCCAGAACTTACTCGTCACATAGAATTCATTCTATTATTAGCACGTTAACACATTCAACAAATTTCTTTTCTTGGAGGAAAGGTAAACAAGCTTTTGAGAGACTGAAAATTCCACAAGTGTAGGCCAATACTATTTTATTTGTCAGTTTTGAAGTTTTGACGAATGATGTGGGTGTACTTATTGACCCCACGCGTCTACTTAAAAGTTAAATGGACTCTTAGATCTTTGGCTATACCCGTTTTATCTATACGACTCAACTGCATTATATATTCTTGAATGTGATATAGAATTTAAAATAAGACGTAATTGGAATTCATCTACAGTGTCACGGTATTCTGAAGGTTGAGAGAGCATGATAGAAAATTATGGATAATGAAAGAAAGAAATATTAAGTCAACGTGTATGTAACATTGAAATGGAGAAACTCGTAATCCCGTATTATCTACTTTGAGCATATTGTACCTATATTGAAATTTCTCTCAAGTTAACGCAGAGGAAGAAGTTTATTTTCAATATATTTTTGTGGCACATTTTATCTCCAACTTATTGATGCAGCCTTAAAATGCTGCGTCGGCTTTTCTACTTCCTTCAACGACTCGGTGCCAAGAATAACTGTCGTCATCGAATGGAAACCGTTTCAGATCTTAGCAGTAAAAGCCTTTCATATTCCGACTGGTTTTTCGTTCAGTCTCCTTCATAAACTTTGCCAACGACCGTAGTATCTTTTTATTCATTTTACCCGATATAGAATACAGAATTCTTCCGCAAGGAGCCCTACACACGGTGTGGTCTTGAGTGCGTTGCCTGCTCCCCAAATGTATGCAGACCAAAACATAACGTGAAAATAGCTTCTCGCCATCTTCCAATGTCGCAGGAAAGAGCCACGGAAGGTGAGAGACTTTTTTACGAGATATGTGCATTAGTCCCTCTCTGCAGTCTATAGTCCACGAAGACAAAGAACGTGCCTCGAGAAAGGGAAAACTAAGCAAAGAAAAGAAGGAAGTGGAGAAGTAAAATGTAACAGAGAAGGGAGAAGATTATCACTGAAGTGCAGCGTAGGCAGAGCGCTCTACAGTCGCCGAGAAGGGGTAGAGACTTGCAGAATCCTAAACACATGGGCTTGCGATATACGCGCACTCTCGCGAATTGGGAAGGAAGAGAGAGAGAGAGGGAGTGCGTTGGCTCGCAAATCAAAGTGGGGGTGAAGTGCGGTCTCGAATACCAGACCACGTTGATGACTCGAGAGTGCTGTCCGAAAGCACGTTGAGATTTATGCGTCGTTCTACTACCAAAATATGGAATCTTAAAAAACGTCAGGCTTAGATTCGTTTAATGGATTGGACTGGAAGAAAAAAAATTAAGAGTATGATCCCAAACCATTGGTTTGTATTCAAGTCTTCTTTCTGCTTTTTAGAAAACAATTTGTTAATAAAAATTGAGTTTGAAGAATTCTACAGAACAACAACCTTTTATTGAATTTCTAGGTTGAAATTGAATGTTCCTTGAATGATGTGGTCAAAAGAATATACGATTCCTGATTGGATGACATGTGTTTCACAAGACAAATTTCAACTCATAGATTACGTTTATCGTCACTAAATCTCAAGTGGAATTATTTCAGTTTATGTTTAAGAAGAAGATACAAAAGGGAAAACTTTAACTTGAACGACGTGATAGCTGGGAATCTTCCAGAAACTTAGAGAGAAACGCATTTTTCGTTTTCTTTAAATCGTAAATAAACCACACAACTATATTTACAGGTGGCACCATATTTGACATTACAGCCCTGAGGAAGAGCGCGATATGTCGGTGGAAACTTCGGCACCTTAGCCTGTGACGCGGCGTCACCCGGGCAGCCCAGATCATTACACTAATTCATATATATTAAAACTTGGCGAATTAATCTTATGCTTTCAGTATGTAAAAGTAATGTTTGGTAGTGAAAATGCAAATCAATGTAAAATTTCACAATTCTGAAGATACCATAAAATAATATTATGGCAAATGGTACAATCTGAGACGTTTCTGGTAGAAAGGGCGAACTCAATATTCGATCATTTTTGACACATCAATAAGTACATCAGTGACTTTCATACCAAAAGATGTATATTAAGTGATGTTCTCCTTCTCTTATATTAACATTTTGTTGAGTTCGACCTGTGTGAGAAGCCCTACAAAGCATTTTTTCTCCAAGAAGTTACATGTTTTCGAGTTCGCGCTTCGTATCCGGAATGCCTCAATTAATCAATCATCCTACTCACCTTTTCCTCAAGGCTGTAGAGACGCGCCGGGTTGAGAAGTCCAGCTTAGCGCGCTGAGAAGAGAGGCCTTTCTGGAAACAGAGGTAGTGCGGGTGAGCCTGAAGCCGTTTCACAACAGACCGCAAAAGGGAATTAAAGAAAGTTGAAAGACTGATATCTCAGGTAGGCGTTCGCAACACGTCGGGTTCACGACGCTTGGCGGGATCGCAAAGGGGATCACATTTATCTTGATCCGAAAACGGAAGCCGCTGCAACAATGAGAGCGCAGTAAATGATGGCATTGGTTTTCAGCCGATCGAGCGCTTGACAATGGTCTGAGCGGAGTTGAGAGAGTAATGCGATGTTGATGTTAGAGCGCGGATTTGCTAAGTTACGGTTTGAGGCGCGTTTGTTGAGTTGTTTTAATTTTTTAGTAATTATTGTGTAATTATTTTTCTATTCATATTAATACTTATAATTAAAATTCCCCCCGAAAATGTTTCATATATTTGAATAAAACCTTTGGGGTTGGTTGTTTTTTGATAAAATTGTAGTTAGTAGTATTTCAGTTTGTTTTAGTTCTTGCAATTTACTTTCCTATATACGTACGAATAAACGGAGTAATATACGTAGTATAGGGTAAGTTTTGCAATGCTGCGGAAAATCGATTTTGCGACTTCAACGAATATATTTGTTTAGGGGCCACCTGATACCAAAAAAATTTTTTTTTTTTATTTCAAAACGTCCGCCTGTCCGTGAACACAACTAGCGCCTAAACCACACGTAGAAGGTTTTTCAAATAGAAGAAACCCGTGTCAATTTGTCTCCAGTCAAATCTTTGAAATTTTTTTAAAAAAGTCTTTAAAACTTGGGGGTATTTTACATGAAGTCTCCCGGACATTTTCAAAATTTTCTCTAACAAGCTTCCAAATTTTTTCTTCAACATTTTGTAAACATAGAGAAAAATAAACTTATAAAGGTGGCAAAGGTCCGATTTTCATGATTAACTCAAAATGTTTAGAAATTTCAATTCAGTCAAACCTTACATGTAGCGTCCATTTAATGAAGTGAACACTAAATTAATTTTTTTACGCTACGCTTTCAAAATTCTTTCAAATTCAGTCAGACTTCATACTGCTCGTTGTGTATATTTGGCGAAATTTCATTCTTGCCTGAGATATGGCACAATGTTCTGGGGAAATACATGTTATAGCTCCCAGACTTTTAGATTACCAAAAAGAATTGAACGAATAATAAGCAAATTCCACCCACGTGATTCTTTTAAGCCTCTATTTATTAATACATGTATTTTACCATTACCTTGTCTTTGATATATGAATAAGCGTTTTTTGTCAAAAATGACTTAAGGTGGTATTACATGCGCAACTTTTGAACGATGGATTGAAGAAATGCGGGTAGATTGGGGGTATTAATTACGAAATCGGACACTGAATTTTATGAAACAATGCCAATCTCTAAAGAATCAGCCATGTCTTCACTACTTTCTCAATAATTTACGTTCTAACTTTCTCAAGAGTTCAAGGTATCTCCTATAATAGATTGATACCTACTTGGGTCATTTCTTTAATTTTTTAGAGAAAATAACGGTCAGACGTTCTCGTTTTCAAAAGAATATTGTTTCTACTTCGCGTCAGTGAAGATTTGTTTGGAATGTGGTCATCAGTACTCACTGCGAGCTTTTGTCTTGAACTGTTTATTGTGCCAGAGAGGGAGAAGCAAGGTCATCGTTCAAGAAACGTTGCGCGAGTAATATGTTCGTGGCAGTCGCGAGTCAAACACTCGATAATTTATTACATGTACAAACTAACAATTGCTGCTTGTAAACGTGAAAGTGGCGTTTCATTATTTGTGAATAGTTGAAAGATAAGTATTGAATAGATGCTTTAGAAAAACAATGTTTACAAATAAATTTAGTCACTCGCATGCCTTTTTATTTTCACAAGTTCCCGATATTTAATATAGGTTACATTGAATTCGGCACACGTTCTTTTCTTTCTTTCTGCGTTGAATATTAGTCCACATTATTTACATTGAAAGTGGATTATCGTCAAACAGTTTGTGTTTGTGCATGGTACAAACTTTTAAGTTTGGTTTTATCGCGTAGCCAAATAGAAAATATGACAATAGCACGATTTTTACAGCATAACTCCGAGACCGAGAATGTCCGAAAGCCAGTACTTCCAGTTGCAATGAATATTGCAGCAGAATTTTTTTATCTATTATTCCTCACAATGCCCGGTGATGTATGTTACATTTAATGCCGCATAATTCCTAAAACAAATTGACTATGCATTGAGTAAAGTACTTTCACCGTAAAAAATATTCTATATCTTAATGAAACTATGCACGTGAAAGTTTTTCCATAAAAGCCTGTACTAATACTAACTACTTTTTTTAAACGTTGGCCGGTTTGGGGGCCATTTTTTTCTGCCCACCCCGAAGAACGCAAATTTTTCTTTCATTTAATGTACTTTTTGGGGGTATTTGATCGTTATCGAGTTAACGATCATACTACCTTAAGGGCGGGAATATATTTTCAGAAAACGCCGATGACTGTAAGTACAACATTCGACGTAGTTATCATATTCATCAGGTGACAGTATCATCAGCTCAATACAAAAAATTCACATACAATACATGTACATTATTTTGCCAGATGACATTAAACGATTGTCTCAAAGTACGTATATTTAAATACGTAAACGTGAAACATTATAAGATTGTCCCAAAGTACGTATATTTAAATATGGTCTGCTGAACAACTGTTTCTATACAATTAGAGAATATACTGAGCATTCAAAAGAAAAGTAATATTAATTTTAACAATGACATTTAATGCATTATTTACCAATTGCATTGTATAATTCTAAATAACCTGTAACAGGTATTGAACTTAAGCTTCTGGGTCATTGACCCCTCATCTCGATCAACGTTTCGTCCAGTTTCCCAGATCGATGAGCAGATGCAGAGACGACCCCTTGTTTTGTTCTGGACACAAATGTAACTTCAAATTAACTCCTCTACATAGCACTTCACGAACAGTTTATGACTATTTTTGACGTAAATAAATAAAGAACAAAGCTGTAATATATTTAGGACTACACTTAGACACCAACTTAGAAAACATATCTGTCATAGCCCATAAAACTAATATAAAAATTTTAAAAGTATATCCCTTTCTTAACCAAATTTCTACAGAATCAGTCTTATCTATATTTAAGTACTTAATTCGTTCTTCCTTAACACACGCCGGCCCTATGTGGGGCGGCACTGCAAAATATAATTTTCAACAACTTGAAGTTATACAAAGTAGGTACGTACTTAAGAAATATTTTAAAACCCCTTGTTTTATTCCAAATAAAAGAACTAAGTACTGTTCCTTTAAAAACCTAAATTAGCATTATCTCTACTAAACTCTTCTCCAGTCTCTTTACTTGTCCTTCTCACAACACCAAATCATCCAACCCTTATCCACGTTTTGCTAAAGACCACTATTAGCTCCTCCTTTCTTCTTAAACAAAATAACTATACTATTTATAAATTGTAAAATTTATTACTGCCTTAAAATTTACTGCTAATATCCAATGATTTAATTAATAATTATTCAAACTTTTTGTGTGTTATAATAAGTTCTGATGTTACTTCTGTAAGTTTTCCCTCGTAAGCTCGCATTGTTATTGTATTTACTACACACCTCTTGAAAGATAATGTATTATCGAACAAAGATAAATTAATTATTAAATAAAACTATGTGCTACAACATCATATACTTTCTCGCAATATTACAATATTACCACGATGTACGACGGAACCCCTATATATGATTCATTTATTTCAAACAGAAATTACGCGAAAACTTCTTTTACAAAAAATTGTACATGATCTTTTTTTAAAGTGCTAATTGTGTACAATAGAGTGTATGAGGAAAAAATCACTATCTTCAGTTTTTTTGTTGCAATTTTCGTTAAAAACTAGTAATACCGGAAAATGGGACTAGCACGTTTTATCGTTCCTTATAACATATGTAAAGATAATATAAAGAAAAAAATTTGGGCTGTTTCTGACAAAAAAATGGTGTAAATTTCAAGCGCAAATTAACCAAAACTACTCAATTCTTTTCAAATAATTGATCATCACCTTTTTAAAAAGATAATTTGTAAAACAGTATATCTGAGGCAAAAGTTTGTATCTTCAATTTCGTATTTTTCAATTATTTTTTGTTTTGCAATTTTCGAAAGATCGGAGATTGTAACGAAAATGAGACCTGCACCATTCTCTTAAACGTCCTTTTATCTATTCAACAACAAAATTTAATAAAAAGTGTGTAGCCATTTTTTTTAAAATGTCCATGGGTCTTCATGTTAAGTACCTTCTAAAACTAAAATATAGGTTTCAAACCCCCGCGGCCGCGTCATCATTCGGAATGATTGGGGAATATCAATATTGGAGATACTCGGCTGAAAAGTTTATGTGCTAGCGTTGAACACACACGGACAGAGAGACACGTTTTACCGTCAATCGATGTTTCTGTAAGACGGACGCAGTAAATATTGATTCTGGCTACACCACGTATTAGAAGATTTTTTCTATATTTAGCAACTGAATTTATACACTTTTTCATGACCAGAGTCTGACAACAAGGGTTTTTGTGTTGAAAATTCGCCGTTTCCCGGCGTACGATTACAAACATTCTCTTCTTACGTTGGTAAGTGCGAGAAAAATAGCGTGCATATATGAGCGAATGATGTCCGGGGGAACGAATCAAAACTATTCCATAATCGAAAAATATTTTTCTTGTCCTTTTTGCTTGTTATTGCCTTTGATACGGGGCGCGATATACCTTTAATAACTTATCTAGAACGAGAGAATCTTGCTTGATGGAAATATGAAAACAGTTGAATGATGCTGAATAGTCTCATGTGCAGG